CTTATAAAAAACAAAATGTGGTTGAAAGCTTGTGTTCAGAACTCTATGCATTGTCTCAGGTCCAACAGTTTAAGCCATTGACTAGATTTTAGAGTAACTGGTCCAGGGCAGTGCCATTCATCTTGTGACTCCTTGGCACCTGCCAACACTTCCCCAACACAGTCCCGGGATATGTGGCAACAGATGCTTACATCTGTTTATTGTGCCCTGAAAATTCATAGAAATCCTTCATAGAGACAAGTAACCACAATTCCTCTTGGAAAGTTTTCATATTTCAGTCCTGCCACTAGCCTTTTCTGTGACCACACTGTCAGAGGCAGGCTCCAGGATCTTGGTTTCCAACTTTATTGAATCCGTCATAATGGTCATCACTATAGCAAAGCAGTTCCTCATAGTATTCACACGATTGCTTTTCAAAGAAAGTGGTCTAATGAGGGTAAACAGGCTTTTCTAAATAATCCACACAATCTTATGTGATTGCTGCAGTGAGGAGAACGGGAGGACCTGAATAAAGTATGTACTGGATTCCAGGAGACCATCTGACATGAAACTTCACAATGACCATTTGATAACTATTGGATGCACATGCATTTTTCCTCCCTCTCATATGTGTACAGAACAGCCAAACTTCAGAATCTTCTTTTCTTTGTGTGTGTGTGTGTGTGTGTGTGTGTGTGTGTGTGTGTGTGGTGTGTGTGTGTGTGTGTTTTAAAATAAAGATGGCTATATGCTTCTGTTAATCTCAAGGTAACACTTCACCTCTGTGAAATGCCTCTTTAGGTTTTGAGGGTATCATGAAAATATATCTGAGTTTCCTTCTTTCTTTCTTTCTTTTCTTTTTTTTTTTTGAGATGAAGTTTTGCTCTTGTTGCCCAGGCTGGAGTGCAATGGCACGATCTCGGCTCACTGCAACCTCCATCTCCCAGGTTCAAGTGATTCTCCTGCCTCAGCCTACCAAGTAGCTGGGATTACAGGCATGCGCCACCATGCCTGGCTAATTTTGTATTTTTAGTAGAGACAGGGTTTCTCCATGTTGGTAAGGTTGGTCTCGAACACCCGACCTCAGGTGATCCACCCACTTCGGCCTCCCAAAGTGCTAGGATTACAGGTATGAGCCAACTCACCTGGCCCTGAGTTTCTTACGAAGGGTGGTCTGGAACTCCTGACTTCAGGAGATCCACCTGCCTTGGCCTCCCAAAGTGCTGAGATTACAGGTGTGAGCCACGGCACCTGGCCTTCGTTTACTCTTTAAACCCCCTATGTGGTAGGTATTATCAACTCTGTCAGTGAATGATCAGAAGCCCCAGCACTGATGCTCTTTCCACTACACTACATGTCTCCTTATTAGTAACAGTGATGACAATAATAATGATAGCTACCACTGTGCTCCCTTTAATCCCCTCAGTGATCTTCTCAACAACCCTGTACAGTAGACATGGCATTTTACAGATGATTAAACATACAGTGAAGGGTTTGAAGACTATAAGGAGGAAATGTGGCAGAAAGGACTCTGGACTTAAGAGGAGTCTCCACCATTAAGCAGTTGTGTCATCTCAGGACAATCAGAAAACAATCACAGAACTTTTGAGCTAGAGGGAACCTTGGAGATAATGTAGTCTAATCTCTCCATTTCGTAGATAAGAACCTTAAGCCATCCTTGCTGATCCACTCGGTTTTCTCATCCATCAAATGGGAAGAACAAAGCCTGCCCTGCCTTTTCCCCCCAGCAAACTGTGAGGATCAAATGCAGTGATGAATGTGAAAATAATTAGAAAGATCACACTGATGTAAGATTAGAAAAATCCACACCACCGAACAGTGCTCTAAACATTCTAACAATTCTCTCTCCCTCTCCCCTTCGCCCTCACTTACCTGTAAGAAAATACATGGATACACTGTCCTGGGCATCAAGTGTGTTTTCATACTGTGTTTACATAGGCCTGTACACACTCAGGCACATAATTATAGCAGCACCAATCATGCCACTACACTTAAGGTTCTGTCAGCTTTTTCAATATTAATTGCTATTTTCAGGCAGTTTTCAAACTTAGCAGCAAAAATTCATTTTTATGTGAAACTAGATATAATACATGGTCTCAGCAGGAGAGCAAAAGTCTCCATTAGGAAAAAAACAGGGAATGCTGGTAGGTCATTTTAGTCATTTCTAAGAGCTGGTTGCCATTCTGGATTTTTGAATAATGGAAGCTGTTTTATTTAAAAGTCACCTGCAAAAGTTGTCTCACAGTAACCCTTGAAGAGTAGGTTTTTAACAGCTATTATCTAAGCTGCATCTCATAATGTGCATAAGAATACAGGTTTCCAGGTTGGGCTGATCCTTGCATTGACAAAGCAGTGCATCCCACATGTCTTGCTTGGGGTGAATTGTAAGGGCGGCAGCTAAGCACGTGACAGCACTCTCTGCCTAAACATCCCTTTCCCCCTTCAGCTCTCAGTCTACCTGTCCCTCCCTAACCACCCTGCCTAGAACGCAGTCCCTCGCTGGGCTCTATTTTTGTCCTTAGCACTTATCACCAGGGACACACATTGTATCCTTGTTTGTTATTGCCCTGTCTTCTCTGGCTCGAATGCATACTCCATGACAACAGGATCTTCCAATGTTTTATTCACTACATTTTCTCACTGCCTAGCACATAGTAAGCACTCAGGCAATATCTGATGAGACAATAAACTAAATCCAGAAGTTGAGTAATCTAAAAAATTTGAGACTTTGGGAATTCAAAAGCCATGTTCTACTGCTTACTCTTTTGCAAAGATTTTCCCAAGAAGCTTTGACAGAGTCAGCTGCTATGATGGGATTTCAGAGAGCAGCATTCTGTGCTCACAAGAGAGAGAGAGACTGGGCAGTAGTTTTAATTTCTAATTACTCATCAGGAGTTTTGTTTTCTTTTCCAGTTTGTTGAATACAGACACCTTTGAGATGTGGATTAATAGGATGGAAAATAGCCCATCATCCATTCATTCACTGAGCACTACTGAGTGGCAACATCTCCCCCTCCCCATAATGAATGGTTTTAGAAGACCCCAGTACCCCCAGGGGAGAGAACACGTCACAGGTGGACCTGTACGATCGGAGGAATATGCTTTACAATTTCAACTGCACAAATCAAAACAAGAAAAGGAATATGGATTTCAAATTAGCCCATCACTTTAGAAAAATTATTTTCAATTTGCCAAAGCATAACTTTCTAAGCATTCCATTGCAGAGCCACTTTAAACTCAGAATGAATACTCAGTTGATTGTAACACTTTGACTGATGAGCAGAAATTCGAGAGAATTCATTTATTCCTGGAGAGAAGAGGGAGAAGTTCCACTAAACCAGAGAGATACTGTTTACATTGTTAGCTCAGTTGTTATTCTGCTAGATTAATCTATACCTATATGTTAAACGGTGTGTACTTCTGGAAAAATAGGTATGCTTCAGATTTATTGTAAAAGGACTATGCTATACCAACAAAATGTATTAGGGGAGGGAGACCAAGACAGAGGAAGCAGTGTTCTCCACTTAGCTTATTCCTTTTTCATTTCCAAGCAACCAAACTAGTAAATACCAATTGCATGTTTAAGCTTACGCTTATTTTCTATTTCTTTGTTGTCATTTATAAAGACAAGGCCTTGTTATGCTGCCCAGGCTGCTCTCGAACTCCTGGCCTCAAATGATCCTCCCACCTTGGTCTCCCAAAGTGTTGGGATTACAGATGTGAGCCACTGTGCCCAGCCTATCTTTTTTTTTTTTTTTTTTTTTTTTTTACCTGTTTCTCAAATGCTGCCTTCTCCTGCTTCCTCTCCTGGCATCTCTCTTAGCTTCTCTCAGCCTCCTTTAGTAGTTTCTCTTCTCTGACCTGTCTTTTGTCAGTGCTCCTCAAGACTCTGCCTACTTTTTCATCACGTTGCATCTAATTCTAGGCAATTGTACTGATGTCCATGGCTTCAGCTATCACTTACATACCAATAACTCCCAAGTCTGTATCCACAGCTTTCACCATTGCCCAGGGCTCACATCTATATTTTCAGGTGCCTACTGCACGTGGATATTCTGAAAATACCTTTAATCCATTTTGTCCAAAATAAAACTCAATAATCTTGCCTGCTGACCCTTATCCTTCCCAGGGCAGTACCCATCAAACACAGCACATACATACACATACACTCAGACATGCACGCTGAGTACCTCTTAGGTACCAAGCACTTCTGTATCTGTCACTTTCAAAATAAAGCTGGAAACTTGGGAACCACAGCATTGCCCTTCAAGACCTTTCAATGCTACCCCCCGCTCCGCATTACTGTCACCTGCTGCAGGTGGTTCTCAAACTGTGTTCTGAATTGCTACAGAGGTGGCCTTGAGGGATAAGAGGAACACCAAGACAGAAGAAGTACCAGCCTCACATCTAGTTTAACTAGAGGTGCATCATTTTTATCTGTTTTGTGATTGGGGTGCTGGCTAAGAAGTTTTGACCAAAGTGTTCTGCCATTTAAACAGGGTTTGAAGACCTTGCCTTCGGTCCCACCTTCTTGGGATGGCAGGCAAAGCCCCTGTGACCTGCCCCATGCCTTTAATGCAGCTCTGTCGCGTGCCACTCCCTCATCCACTCCTTGGGCACTAGTCAGCCCACCCTCATCACAGCTCCCATCTGTTCTTTTATGTGTCCTGTGTCTGATGCTCCCCTTGGGTGGAATGCCTCCCTCACCTCCAGTTCTCTGTCTGCCTGGTTACTCTTACTCATCCCTCAGCACCCAGGTTAGACTCCCT